TGTTATACAAATACCTATCTGTATACTGTTTTTTTTTATGACAAATGAGCTCCATACCCTGTTAACCCTTGTTACAACATAGTTCTCCTTGCTCGTTTCAACATACTCGTTTTTATTTTGCTTTATATTTATTTACTTATTTATAAGTTTATTTATTTATTTTTTCCCTTATCTTGGGATTGAGACACAATCCCAATCAATGTCATTGTAAACACTCTGAGGGCCATACCTCTTGATAAAATTAGGGATTGGTACTGATGGGGTTATGCAAGTCAAAAAAGGGCATGAGGGGTCATTTTTTGATGCCTACAGTACCAATCATCCCTTGGGACACAAAAAGAGAGTGCCCACCCTGACCGCAGTCCTGCCAAACCTCCGGGAGACCCCTCCCTGCTTTGGGTAAGACCACTCAAACGCTTAGATACAAGGTCAAAAACAGTAAAAAGCTACTCTTGTCATGATTATCATAAACTAAAAAAGTCTAATAAAGTCAAAAATGGGGATAAACAATATATCCCTAAGGACTTTGGAAATTCAAACAAGGGTCACAGGTGCAATAAAAATTGTAAACATGTAACATTACAATAACTGATAGTTTTATTACTTCATATGTTACCGGATTGAAGATAAACATTTATAAGGAGCGAAACACTAATCGTGAATCTAAAAATGTAATGTACTGCTTAACATGTAATGGTTGTGATACACAGTATGTAGGAATGACTACAAGAAAAATCAAACTAAGAGTAAGAGAGCATTCAACCAATATATACAAAGATAAAATACATACACCGTTATACGCACATTTAAAAAATTGTGGCAGAGGGATAAAATTGTGACAGGGGTCTATCAGATCTGATGATAAAGCAATATTGATGGATAAAGAATTGTTCTGGTCTAAATTACTAATGACTCCATATCCATTTGGTCTTGATGATAACGTTAAGGGTTACGGTAATATGACTGACACATCTAATCCCAACACTTATAGAGGAGTCCCATCGTTTTTTGCACTTAAAATCACTAAAGATAGACGAAATTGGGGTAATGGAATGAGTAGAAACACGATTAATGAGAATTAAACGAGTGCAAAGTTGATTAATAAGGTGACTGAAGAGGAAGGTATACTCGAGCCTATGGATTATTACAGACTCATGAAAAACTTAAGTAAAAAAGAAATGATTAAACTAATTAAATTATTAATGTCAATGGATTTCCTTCACACAGTGTATAATAAAACAAGATTTTTAATACTTTGCTTATTGTCTCATTTTCAACACTTAGTAAAAGACAAGATTAAATCCACAACCCAACATCATAACTTAATAATTGAATATAAAAGTAAGATATATGACGCAATACCATTCAATAAAATGTTTAATTCTAAACAAGTAATTAATCTATTAAATCATAATAAGAGAAATAATAAGGATGTCATCCTTATAAGAACAATTTACAAATATGGAGGTATCGCATCAAATAAAATTTATAACTATAATAGTGCACTGAATTCATTAGATGGAAACAGGATCAAAGACATTATGGAACAGGAGTGCATTTGTAGTAACTATTTGCTCAAAGAATTTGTAAATGAGGAACATGGACATATTATTACAGGGGATTCAAATATTGTCAGAGAAAAGGAACTTAGATGTATCCTGGAAAAAGGTACTAATTGTAAGTATAGAACTGACGAAGGTACTAGTAGACAGGAGATAAAAGTTATGTTAAGAGATAAAATCAAAGAAGTCCGAATCCAGATATAAGATCAACAAAGAATCAACAATAATGTTATATAAACACTTTTATACTTTCTTCTAAGAAAAAATCAAACCCCTACCTACTCATAGCAATATCAAACAATCCGTATGGATTTTTCCTTATGAGACTTCAAAAAATATCAAAAACATTCATTTTTTGCCCGCTTGATAAGGCTAGTAATAATTATGGTATAATATGCAAAAAATATCACGTAGAAATCATTATGGAAGAAATTGGGATTAAATATAACGATATAGAGAAATCCTTACAACATCATAGTACCAATAATACATACGAAATGGTTAGTGGTAACAACAAGTGTACGCTATTACACAAGAATAAAATGTTATGTAAAAGAAATAATCTCAACGTAGATGAAAATAATGATATACCAACTATACATGCTCTTCCGGAGTTACATAAACACCCAGTAAAATTCAGGTTTATCACAGGAGCTCGAAAGAGTAGTGTGAAACCATTGGCAAAGAATTACATATCATGTTTACATGCATTGAGAAACACATCATCAAGTATGCCATGGTGATACAAAATAGAAAAAAGACAATAAAAAATTATTGGTGTATAAGTAATATCAACATTAGTGAAGATAACAGAAATATAAAAGCTCAAATCTTAAAGTGGTCACAGCGGATTTCACAGATATGTTTACTAATTTAGAACATGACCTCATTATTAAAAACGTCAAAATGTTGATAAACCTATGCTTTGAGAACGCAGGTAAAGATAAGTTCGTAACTAATGGATACTATGTTTACTACACGGATGCTATGCTTATGAATAGTTTCTGTCAGTTTGGAGGCCATATATACAAGCAAAATAAGGGAGTCTCCAAGGCGGTAATTTTAGCCCAGATTTTGTCAGCAGACCTTACATTATCTATGATACATAACTATAGCAATAATAATGAATTAGCTTGCAATAAATTGTTCGCTCCCTTCAGATATATGGATGATCTTATGATAATATATAATCAAGAAGAATATGAAATAGAGATTAATATTAATTATATCTATGAAGGTAAACTTGAGTTCAAGAGAACAAATTACGATGAGTGGAATAGCAATTACTCAGATTTGAATATTAGAATAACTAATAATAGAATACTCACCAGTTTATACAAGAAAACAGAGGATTTTGGTTTTACAGCACCAATATTTCCATTAGTACCAAAGCATCTGTTATCTATACAGAAACACTTAGAATAGCTAACACTTGTTCATTATCAGAATCTTTTGTTAAGAAAATAAGTGAAATGGTTTATGTGTTAAATTGAAATTGTTATAAAAATGAATTTATTATTGTCAATATAATAAAGTGTTTATATAACAATAAAAACATTTGCTACAAATACAATATGGACAGTGATATTGCACAAATGAAAAATTTCGTAGAAGGTATAGTTACAGACACTCAATGAGTAAATTGATGGATA